AACTGTGGCAAGTGGGCTGGCGGAAGGAAACTGGAGGAAGGGAACTGGAGGAAGGAAACTTGAGGAAGGGAACTGTGGCAAGGGAACTGTGGGAAGGGAGTTGGAGGCAGGGAACTTGAGGAAAGGAACCGTGGGGAAGGAAACTGGAGGAAGTAAACTGCAGGAAGGGAACTGGAAAAAGTGAAGTGGTGAACCAGCAATATAGGTCTTGGTTCCGGTTGTTTCTACAAGTCTGTTGGTGTGCTGTAGCAAAGTTGCACTGTACTTTCTCTTTAATTCTTGCAGCATATGCCATTAGAAATTGTTTCCATTTGTCCATATATGGATTAGAGTTTTGAAATGGACTGCACCTTCATCAAGAGCAGGCGGTATGTCCCAGGGCACTGGGGTGGGAGCAGAAGATGCCAAGGCTGAATCAGATCCAGCTTCAGACATGGCTCAGCGTCAGTGAGAAGGCTTCTGGGCTCCCCTATCAAAACTCTACTCTGGACCTGCGAATAAATATAAAAAACAAACAATAAATAGAAAATAATTTCGTTTCGGTCCGATCAGCCCCTCCCAGAATTGAGCCCCACGTTCCGACCAGAAAAATTTTTCCGGTCCGTTCCCCCCCCCCCTTCACGGTTAAATGGTCCGATCAGCCCCTCCGGAATTTGGCGGCCCTGATCCGACGATTTAACCGCCAAGGCCCGCGTTCCGACCAGACAAATTTTTCCGGTCCGTTCTCCCCCTCTGAATCTTGGACCCTCCGTTCCGACGAAAACCAATGTTCATGAGAACTGTGTTCTTTTTCTGCTGGCTTTTGCTGCTGATTGGGGATGATGGCTGGCCCCCTGTAGCCATCATCATTCAGCTCCCATCTAAAATTCCACCCCCGCAACTCCCATTCCAACTCAGTGGAGTCATTGTCACCAGCCGGCCCAGCTACAATTTGCTGGGCGCCAGCTTTGTACCACTCCCGCTCCACGGTCAAAGCCAAGTTGCGGCGCATCCTGCGTGGATAAACCTGGCCGACCGAATGCGGCTGCAACCCCCTTCCTAACCTTGGAGCCATGCGTGGGCCACAGGGTCATGGTTGCAAGTCATTGGCGAGCAACGGGAAGAGAAGCAAGGGTCCATTTGCGTGCAGTTGCTCAAGAACTTAGTGCGCTTCCGCACAGGCAAGTGCTCAATCAAAGTCACCAAGCCAAGCAAGCATTGGTCAAAGTTGCATTCCCACACCCCTGGCAATGATGCAGCCAGTCGGGTCACTGGAAGCTTCCAGCTCGATGCCAACCAAGGGTGTTCCAAGATCACCCGCCGACCAGCTTGCACTTCTAAGTTGAAGACGGTCATAGCAAAATGCCAAAGCTCCAAGGCCTTATTGTAACGACACTGATACTTCTCCTCATCACGGCGGCCAGCGTTGGTGTGTTGCACTTGTGAGAACAAAGTGCAAGGAGGGCTCAGCATGATGTCAATATGGCCCAGAGAGCCGTTCCAACAAAACTGGCAGCATGGCCCAGAGAGCTAGCATGGCCCAAAGAGCCACTCCACCAAACCAAGGACCCACAAGCAGGCATGGACAAAAAAAACATTCAAACAAGAAACAGGACACGCTTGCCAAGGTTTTGCTGAAAAGTTTGCTTCGGCAGCGAGAACACCCGCTAGCTTTGTACTTGCATGTGGAGCACCCTGCTGTGACCCCCTCAGGGATCAACAACTTGACTTGCGGCAGCTAGGCAAATACAAAACTTAGCAACTTTTTGCTTTGGTGGTTCTTTGAAAACAGTTTGATGTGTATTGCTGTCCACCGCCTGCAGGCATGATCTGCGACATCAACGACAAGGAATGTAGGAAGAAATTTCCTCGCCTCAAGCTGAAAGCTGCTGAAACCCAACTGGTGTTGAAAGCATTCGTGTTTCTTTGGAATCAACGAATGAACCAAACCAACCAAGTGCACCAATGGGTGAAAATAGCTCTTGAAGCTACAGCTGGTATGGACGCAATCCTGAAAAGCCATGAAGACGATTGGCATCTGACCACAGAAAAGGCCAATGACATGTTGATTCTTTCACATCGGTTTCTGACGTGCAACACAGCTTTGTGCGCGCATTTCCAACAAGAAGAGAATCGTAAATTGTTTCAGTGTGGCACATTTAAAGCACACTGGCTTCAACACAGTGTTATGATGTCTGGCCATATTTCCCCACGCCTGGTTTGGTGCTACAGTGGAGAAACATACATGAGTTTCTGCAAGCAGCTGATGCACTCTTGCTTAAAGGGCAGGGGCTCACTGCAATCCCTTCAAATGTTCATGGAGCGTTCCGTCATAAGCGATCCTCCTGGAGGATTAGGTGATGAGGCGAGATGATGGATCTACAGATCTATAGTCCGGTGATAAGCATGGTTGCAAAATGCTACAACTTGGAGAGAGCGAGAGAGAGAGAGAGAGAGTGAGTGAGTGAGATATATTTATTTCTGAGAGTGTACTTATGTGTGAGAGAGAGAGAGTGAAATATTCATTGCTGAGAGTTTCTTTCTTTCTGAAAAAGAAAGAGAGAGAGAGTGAGATATTCATTCTTTCTGAATGATGCTTTACGAGAGATTGATTTCTGATTTTTCTGCGCTTACTGCTTAGATACTATAGTTTGTTCCTCCTCGCAGCTACGACTGTCTGGGCCCTGTGCAGTGGTAGCATTTTTGAGAGCTGAACCTCTAAATCCAGCCATGGATCTTGCAGGGAGCAATGAGAGAATCAAAGTGCTTCCGACAGTTACCGTGTCAGCCTTACAGAAAGCCTTGGATGACGGATTCTGTCAGGACCAGTGTTCCATTCAAGCTTTCCAATGCTTCTTTTCAATTTTCCATTTTCTGATACATTATGGACCTTGGTCCTGGACTGTTTCATCATCCCCTGGCAGGTGGGCCATCGCTGTTTGACAAGCCTTGTTCCGCCATTGCAAGGGATGTCTTGGAAAACTAGTCCAGCAAAACATGTCTCTGCTTTTCTCGCTTTTGAGCACGTGTTGGCGGCACTCCTGATGGTCTGCGCAAATGGTTTGGTGCCAGACAAGAGTTTGCAAGAGGTTCCTGGGCCAGTCGATTTTCTGTGCTTTCATGCTCGCGTTGACCACTTTTTGCTTCACACATCTCAGGCTTGGAAGGCTTCCCATGCAGAGGCCCCCTTTGAGGTGGGCAAGGAATCTTTCGACGCAGTATCCAACTATATCATGACCAAGATCAGGCAAATGGCCACCAAGGTGAGAAACTTGATCAAAGAGGGTTGGGAAACTTTGGACAAGAAACTCACTGAGAGACAGCAGGCATGTTTCCTCCGTCTTTGTCGCACCCTGGCGCCCAACTTTTGCAGTGAGACTTCCGAGCCCAAGCAACAGAGCGCAGGAAGCACATCTACAAAGCCAAGAGAGACAGCGCCTCCTGTCACCTCCTGTCCTACCTGTGGCTTCAGCGCCTACTTTGGGGCAAGGGTCTTTGGCATTGGGGCAAGAGGCAGTGCAGAAACCCAACATCGATGATGGCGGAGTTTCTTTGGCGCCCCACATGCCTTTCAAGTCAGTTTTATGTGTGCGTTCTACGTTCTCTAACAGCCAATGTTCTCTTTCTGTACTCTACATGCGCAGGCTCACTACACCGCACAGTTTTTGCACACCTCTAGCTTCTTGGACCTAGCAGAGACTGTGGCGATGGAATCTGCCAAGAGTGGAGTTCTTGGTGGAAACACTGAGAAAAAGAACAAGAAACCAAAGCACAAGAATGTCAACAAGAAGGAGAAGGAGCAGGTGACTCAAAAGAAGGAGCTCAAGAAACCGAAGACAAAGTCCCAGAAGGTGACCCTGGCCACGCTTCAGAAGGTCTTGGTAAAGAAGACCCGTATGGCTGCTTTGAAGGAGCTTTTTTCTCTAGACGCACAAAAGAAATTGAACATGGACGCAAAAAACTTTGCATCCAGAGTGTATCACAAGATGGATGACTTTTTGGGCAGAACCCAAGCCCAAGAGGGCCATGCTCACGCCTTGGCCTTTTGTGATTCTGTGCAGGATGTGGATTAAATTCCAACAGCCTTGCGTAAAGCAATGGCAGGGGTGCAACCTAAGCTATGAGCTTGGGCGGGGTGTGTGAAAAAATGTACAATTTCCACTTTCCTGACTGACTTTCCACTTTCTTGACTGACTTTCCACTTTCCTGAGAGCTTTCCACTTTCCTGAGAGTTCTAGTGAGTTTTTGTTCTTTACCTTTAAATGTAATTGTTGTCCAATTTTGGTTGAAGTTTTGGCACAAGGGTGTGCAACGCACTCTCTTTTTGCAATGGCCCCCAAGCATGCACAGCAATGGCTGGTGCCGAAGCCACCTATGAAAAAGGAGCATGTGGCTCAAGTTAAGCCTGACATATGGTTGGTTCAGAAGAGGACGCTGAAGAGAACACCAAATTGGAAATTGGAGCGCCGCATTCAATATATGATGGCTAGCGCCACTGGTTTGCATTGTAAGTTCTCCATTGTGCCCACTGTTTCCTCTAATTTGCTTCGCTGCAGCTCAGGAACTTGATCCTGCAAAGCAATTTGGCAAAGAACTTTACATCGCTTATTGCAGAAGGAACCGCCTTCCAGTTCCAATCGACTCTGAGAGCTCAGGGTCAGACGGATCCAATACCATTAATGCTGTGCTGACCGTTTTGGATTTCCAACGGTATTAATTTGCAACATGTGTACAGCTCAGAGGTTTCTGCAACCCTACACTTCCAGAAAAAATCAAGAGCTGCTGCTCTTTTGAAAGGACGATGTTGTGAATTTTTCCAACGCCCCTGACATTTCTGAGTGCTGAGAGATATAGACATGAGTTTTTTTCAAGATAGTTTCTTTGCTAAATCTGATTGAAATTCATGTTGGACATTATTCTCAAAGCGCTCCTAGATCATGATAGGATATATCCTATCATGATGATAGGATACATGAATAAGACCATCTATCTTAATGCAAGATATCAGCTTAATATAAGATAGATATCTTATTAATAAGCTAAGAGGATCCTTGGGGCTCTGCGTAGGCCTTGGTCAGGGATCTTCCTCGACATACCCGGATTCTATGTCCGGCATTTCGGAGCATCATCAGGCTCTGAAGTTGCATCTTCGTACAGGACTCGTGTGTCATCCCAGCGTCCACTAGGATTCGCACGAACCCCTGATGACCCTTGATCATCTCAACCATATCTGGCTGGTCGAAACTGTACGCCGTAACTCGTACGGACGCTTTTGGGTTCTGCTGCAAAAGCTCAACAGCGCGAACCTGCGCCTCCTTGTTTCGGACGTACTCGATCTCCAGGGTTTGGGCGGCGGGAGCGTTTTCCAACCCCAGCTGGACATTCAAACCAGCGGTTGCTTCCTTTGCCACCCGATCATCTGGTTTCAACTCCGTCTGACGAGTCATCTTGCTGACTCCCCCAAAACAACCAGATTCTGACCCCTGCGAACCCGGAGGCGACGACGGCTTCGACCACAGTTCCCTAGCCTTCTTCGCCACCCCTTCAAAACATACCCTCTTTTCACGGGTCGCATTTTCCGCGCCCAACGCCACTAGTGAGGCCGCACCTTTTTCTGCCGCGGAGCTTTTGGCGAGCCTGACCTCTTTCTCAGGATACACCTTCAGTCGACGAGCTTCTCCTACGGCCGAGTCAATGTGGCCGCAAACCCCACTGGCGAGGTACGCCCTGCAAGCGCATGCCCCTTGGCCATCCTCTCCGATCCAGACTCGGTGGACACCTCTTCCTCCAGTGACCTCCCAAGTCGAACCTCCGGCTGACTTCGAATTCTTCGAAGACTTTTGAGCTCCAAGAGACGGGCTGGCAGGGAGTTGCCATGGCTCGACTTGACCAACTTGTTCCGGACAAGGTTGCCGAGCCACCACACAGGATCACGACAATCCTTCCTGTCACCTGGACAATCTCTACCGCCGAGACTTCCTCAACCTCGGCTATTGTCCTCTGGGCATAGGACGTGAGCGCGTCAACAACTAAGAGGGCAAGAAGGAAAGATAGGCGTAGTTACGAGGCCCCTTAGTTAAATGAAAGTAGAACGCGAGCGGGACCTTTTGTCTTAAACCGCCCGGGTAGCTAGCAATAGAGTAGGAGAAACGGAAGGAAAGGCACAAACGCACAAGTGTGTTGAGTGCGATTTCCTTCCGTTGCCCGAATAGCGGGCGGGATAGCAACCGAGGCCCAGGGGTAGGGAGGTAGGGGGGAGGGTGGGTTAGGGTGGCCTGTAGGCCTTGCCATCATTGGCTTTCAAGTATAGCCGATTTGGGCCGGCGCGCCCCTTCCCTGAAAGACACCTGAAACCTAAAGAAAGGCCTCAAGAAACGAAAAGCAACAAAAGGAGAGAAAGAACCGAAGAGCGTGAAAAACACATGTAACAAAAGCACAGTGCGTGAACCCGCCTGTGAATACTTAGACGCATGTTTCCATGTGAATCTGAGGTGGGAAGCACAGTGAGCCCTGCGGCATAAGATCAGTGGTATCGTGCAGCACGGTCGATCAAGAGTATGAATCACAGTGGGCCCTGCGGCATGGTATCCCCCAGGATCTGGGTCTATGCACACGCTGCGCCCCTTGACGGGGATCACACCACAGCCCTCAGTGGGACCCTGTGGCGAAACACACTGAGATGGTTGCTCACAAGAGCTAGTATCGGTACGAAGTTCCCCTTGACTTGAAGAACCGAAGGAACGATAACCGAAAGGTGGCCGGGCCGGGTCGAAGGATTTGAAGATGTTTAACAATGTTGCAAAATGCGTTAGCCGTATTACTGCAGGAAACAACGCATTGGACAGCTTGTGAACAGTTGGAAAATTGCAGGTACGTCGATTTGGCGTCCCAAATCGATTTCACAGACCAATGCAAGCGTCTTTGTTAGTGCCAGACTTGCATGGTCCCTGGCACCCCCTGCCTCTTTTTCTGCGTCAAGAAACTGTAAGTTAGTAGCGATACCAGGAGCCCCTAGTAGGAAAACCAGGGGCCCTAGTAGCGTCCTTTACGACTCAAAACCTTAGGCACAGGTGTGGACACACACACACACTTGAGAAAGAGCTCTTAAGAAAATAAATCAGGGCGGCGCCAGCAAGGCGTTAATGCAAGAACGACCTCAAACACCGGCAATCGCCCTGAGCAAACAGAGAGGCAAAAAGGTCGGAAAACAGTATAGCTTACACCGCAAGAATTCGGCAGGTACACAGTCAGACGTGTCTGAGCACTAGCTTCGTTGGCCAGCGTCGTGCTGCCATGCGCTGACCCCTGCTTTCGAATTCATCATTCGAAGTGAGGACAACGACCCTGGGAACGGGTTGACGCGCACACACGCACACAAAGAACCGTTTGTGGCGCTTTGTGCGAAAATGAGAAAGGACGTGGCATGTTGGCAGTGTGTGGTTGGTGTGGAAACCTGCACGCCTGCCAGCCTAAACTACGACGTAAAAAGCCTTTAGAAAAAAAACAGACAAACAGACAGACAGAAAGAAAGGAACGCACACAAAAAACAACAACAAAATATATATAATATATACCATTCAAAAAACAAAATCAAGACAACAATAATTTAGTGACAAACTAGTTGACAAGGTTGCCATGCCTGAAAGTGAATATATACATGAGTAAACTCAAAGCAGTGAAACTGATTCAGTGCACTCTGCATTTTTGAGTTGCTGTAATCCAGTAAGCTCTGCGGTGAAACGAATGCTAGAAACTTCTGTGTGAGTTTTTTGCTATTAATAACTTCTTGCTAGTAATGGCCTCCAACCTAATAGCGATGGCTTCCACCTAGAAGTTTCTAGCCACTAGTAGCTTCTTATTAGAAGAGACTTCTGTAAAACAGCCTGTAGATGAATTCGGGAGGGTGAACTCGAGGAACAGTTCTGCAAGACAGCGCTCTTGAAAAGGATCACACAGCATACTGCAATGGGAAAACGCTGCGCGAAACGCTTGAAAAAGAGCTCGTAAAGTTCTAGCTAGTGCGATACCAGTCGAGTGCAAAAACGACCGCAAAAACCTACCATGACCCTGGGCAAACAGAAAGGCGAAATCATCAGAAAAGAGTATGGTTGCTGTGGCGAAATCAGGAGCACTTGAAGCAACGCTCATGCCAAAATCCTGAAAATGTGAACTGAACATTGTGGATCGAAAACCGAAACTTTTAAACAGTTGGAACGGTTCTGATGGTGAAATACAGTGAACTCTGCAGTCTGTATTCAAGAGTTTGCCCAGTAGCTCTGCAGCATATTTCAGGAATGCAGGGTGAAACGAATTGAGGTAGAGAGAGGTCAAGCAATACAGGCGCATCCCAAAGCTTCCAGGCAAAACTAAGAGAACATTCTGCAATACAGCGCTCCATAAGGGGATCGCACAGCATACCACAGTGGGAAGATGCTGTGGTTTACACTGGACAGAGCTAGCAAGAGCGAGGTTCAAGGTGGTCTCAAGAGTGCATTAACACTTTGCAATTTGGTTACTGCAATACCGGAACTGGTGCCGAAAGACCTGAAGCCTGCAGACCTGAGAAATGGCCGAGAACAACAAGTAACAAGTAAACACGCTTTCCATTACCGCGTCAACAAGAGCAGGTGCTTGACTCTGGCATCCCAAAGTCATATCGACACAATGGAAAAGTCATCGTGCGGCAATGCTTCCCACACTGCCCATTGCCCCCCTGCTGCTTTCGAATTTTGCGCGCCAAGCCCAATGAAAGGAAACTCAATTGAAGGAAACTAGTTTTGCAATGTTTTGCCACTGTTTGGCTGCTTATCAACATGTCGCAGGACCCCGAAAAAATCCGCCAAGATCATTGGTGAGGTGGCAAAGACCAACACGTTGAAATTGCCTTCAAAGGTTCTGGAAGCATCCAACTTTCAAATGATCGAGGAAGGGGCAGGCCGTGAGACAACCAAGGATGCCCCACCCTCATAGAAGGAGAGAGCCAAAAAATGGCATTGTTCAGAAAACTACAGCTGGGTTCTGCGAAGCAGTTGGACCTTCAGAGAGCTACAGAAAGTCCTTGGCCAAAAGCGTATGGCTCTTGGACAAGGCAATATATTTGCTTTACAAATATAGAGTGACACTATCTGTGAAGATCGTGTGAAAAGAGGCGGTATTGCATTTCTTGTGAAAGGTTGCAGTTCTTAACTTGTGGATTCCAGCGAAGCCCGAACTCCCATTGGTCGAGGTTTTTAGACATATTTTCCGCAGCTTTTGCAACAAGAACGGGCATTGTCATCCTGGATCCCGCTTCTTGGCATGGTATGTGTTGATTTTGCAGCAAAAGAGTCAAAATTCGATGTTTTGGTCTTTAGCCAAGGTTGTTTGCACCCCAATGGAGTGCATTCCATGGACCGAGATTCTTGACGAAGTCACTTCAATGTTCACCGGAGCCTGGTTGCAAGTGTAGAGCAGATTGTTCCACATCGCTGCCAAGGAATATCATTTTGCTTTCCGAGCCTTGTTTGCAAGAGCTTTGTTACATGGGGTGTCTACTTTAGTTGTCCAAAGGTTGAGCTAATGAATGTGCAGTGCAGGGTGAAATTACAAGTGTATCAAATTGTTTGCCGTCATCAGACGCAACATAATAACGTCGTCGTATTTCTCATCTCAGGACAGCTACAAGGTGAGCCACTGGAAGCAGTACCCACCAGGAACACAATATGTTTACAGCTTCTTAGATGCAAGCAGGTTTCGAGTGTCCTGTCAATTGGATCGTTCTATTGGACTCCTTAGATACAGCAACCCTGTTCCCAGCTCAAACCGTACAAGTGAGCTGAAGCATGCTGGAGCAAACTTTTGTTAACTTGGAAGGCTATTTTGAGAGCCGTGGGTGCGACAACGCTGGATGGAATGAAGTGGTCTTTTTCGGGCTGCAGCAACTTGCTGAAGTCTTCAGGCTTCGACGCTACCTGGTGCTCCACGTTTACTGGGCTTTGTTTCGCCGCTTTTTAGTTTTAAATTCGAAAGAAATGAAATGTTATTCTATTATTCGAAGCTTGAAGCGGCCTGGACACCTGTTGACTAGTGGAGCGTGAGGTCATTGGGCACCCATTCTTACTGGCACTAAGTCACTAAGTCCATGGTTTTCAAAGTTCTGAGGTGACTTTTACCTGACAACTTTTTCTTCAGACTCCCACATTCCGCTTTCGGAAACTATGCCTTGGCTAAGGTACTTCATCAAGCGCTACTTGCTTGGTCCTGTCGTCACCAAGGTGGGAAGACAGAGAACATGAAGGAAGAACTGCTGTTCAACCATGCGTGACGTAGTTTGGCCACCTTGTGAAGTTTCGCCGAAAGAGTGCAGAGGCTATTCCACCGCACTCACAACTCTGAATTCAGGACAAGATTGATGAGGCTGCTGAAATCTATTCTCAGCACTTTGGAGATGGGGACCCTAGGCCGCACGTCCAGTGAATCTCAACAGTGTCCCTGTAGGATGGACTTTCAGACAAGTTGTTTTGCGATCCATCACTTTCCCTATCCAACGTCATTGCCTTTTCTACTCTTTTATGTTTCTTCATTGCAGTTCACTTTCCAGCCCTAGATCCAGATGAGAAACAATCATAGCATTACAGGTATCATTGGGGAGAGTTCAACCCAGGTGAATGACAATCCTTCGATGTGCCTGGGATCAATTTGCAATGTACTGCGCTTGTTGAACATATTATGATATCATGTGACATGTGTATGTATATATACTTATGAATCATATATATATATATATACATATAATATAGCATCAGACTTGATTGGCGTTCGTCAACAATCATAATATCCATCAAGGTTCTACCGCGAAGGCTGGGAGTACATCTTGAAGGAGCATGGTGGCAGGCAAGGCGCAGACGCTACTGTCTTGCTGAGGAAGCCCGTGCCTGCGCTTTATATCAGATGGGAGCGCCCGCAAGAAATGTTGTAATCTTGGTGGTGTGTTGTGAGTAACAAAGCATTTGTGAATGTAACAATGGACATGAGTCAGAAGGGAAGTTGAGGGTGGGATCATCTTTCATGGCTCTGTTGGGCCATTTTGGCTCAAGAGTTCACGAGGCGTCCACTTCATGGCCCAACTGGTCAGGGGGGAGAGGTCAGCCTCCACACGCCAGGCTCGGCTGGGCGAGCCATTTGTCACCTTATCGGTGGCGTGCTTCTGAGCACACTGCTGGTGGGGGTGTGGGTGGGCTGGTGACTCCATCGGTTGTGGGCGTCATGGAGTGAGCTTGCCTGGTGGACTCGGATTCCTTGGGCAATTCTGACACGGAAAGCCCTACGGTTCATCACCAAAACACATGGAGGAGAGCTTGGTTGGCAGTGCCAAGCCGAAGGTTGGCCTTTGAGGGAGAACTCACTCCCCCTGAGGGAAGCCGTGGTCAATGGCGTGTCCACGTTGGCAGACGTGGCCGATTGGGCTGGCGCCACTGGCGAAGTTCATACTCAACTCATGAACGCCTTGGGAACACCGGCCATGCTCAGGGACATCGCATGCAAAAATCCGCGCACAGCGCTTCGCTCCGAAGCCGAAGGTGCAGTAAGTTGAGGCAAAAACGGTGCCACTGTGAATTTTCATTGCGTGTCATCAAAGCTTTTAACGAAGATTTGCTCATGGCTCATTGTGCGCAGCTTTTCTCCAATTGACGCCCTGAAAGCAATTTGTTATAAAGCAGGCGCGCCGTGCAGATTGTGCGATTTTGGTGTGACTTTTGCCTGGCGATGTGACTTGCTCAAAATCGCCCGGCCATGGTGTTGATGTGACATCTGCCCAGCAGATGTGACTTAAGCCCCGCGCAAGTCGTTGGCCCACGGCTGATATCGCGCCGTGTGGTTTCAGGCGGTTGCAGTCCTCACGGTGGGTGGGGGAATAATACCGTTTGTTTTCGATCCACGTCGTTTGGCAGGGGGCCTCGATTGTCGCAGTTTTGTAACGATAGGTTCAGAAGACGAGTTTAGCGCGAAGGAGACATGAACAGTGGCAGTAGAGGCAAGGCCTCGGGCCACACATAATTGTTTTTTATGGAGTTGCTGTAAGCGCCGATCGCCCTACAGAAGTGAAAGTTTGCTTGAAGCTTGGCGGGGCGGATGTGTCCTTCACCATGAAGTGGTTTAGTTCCAGGTAGGAGGGTGAGGTCGTAGGAAGGAGAGGCTGCCAACTCATTGCTTGAGAGGTATAAACTTCCAAGATCTATAGACCAAAAACTTAGATTTGGGGGTGTACATGTTACTAGATGTAACAGAAACATATATCTTCAACGCAGGCTGAAAGTAGTTTTCAAAGCCACGTTCCCTGACATGGAACGCAGTGGCCAGGAGTTTCCGCGCCCTAACGTCAATAGAAATACGAATAAAACCAGGCTTCCCGTGAAATCTGTGTTTGGTATTGTTTTAAAACCACATGGAAAACAAACACGTTGACAATGCCACCTTTGATTTGACACACGGCGTAATATCTGCCGTGGACCTAGGTGTTCAGAAAGGTTCGAAAGGTATACGGTATACTCTCACAAATTTTCAAGTAGCAGCGCCACTACTGGACGTTAGCAATAGTGGCGCCAACGCTTCACTGTGAGTGGTGATTTGGCCATGATTTGACTTGTTGGCAACACTTTTGCTGAAAGTAACAATTCTGGCTGTTTTCACACATGTTTGATTGTCAGTACCCAGGCTGGTTGGCGTGTGCTTCAAAGAAACACTTCCACACACCAAGGTTTTCCATTCGGGGCACACGAGCGCAAAACGAAGAATCACAGTCAACAAGGAATGCTTTGGTCGCAAATGGGTGGACGTGGCAATAAACAATCTGTGTTGCAAGAGGCAACATCCGATTCCATGCTTCACATGCGTTGCAGGCTGCCGGTTGAAATCAAGGCTGTTCCAGAAGGACTGCCGGACGCAAAGTTCACGTTTGAATTTGAACCCTATATTCCCTCGAAGTTTATGCTACCGCACTCGTCCTGGACATCACCTTTACTAAGCCTTGGGGGAATGAACTTAACATGAGCACCTTTGTTTACTCATCTCTACTCATCCATTTGTATAAAAAAGCAATTTGCTGTACAACTTTAAAGATTTTGTACTTTCAAGGTGCCAATTTTGTGCTGTGTGTGTACACTTGGGAGTCATGTGTGAACGCACAGGGAACGAGGGTCCACGTTATACAGTATTCGATCTGCAGTAGACCTTGGAAGTTTGGACATGCAAACGGCCCTGCAGCCGACCGCTCCTACGTCCTTGCGTGACAGATTGGAAGAAGATTGCTGGTGTTTGCACCGATTTGCGACCATTGCCAATGAATGTTGAACCCTTTGAAAAACTTTGCGTTCTCGGTCTAGCTCTCCTTTCGATGAGACGCGCTCCGAAACTGGGCGACTTGGCGAAACTTTGCGGACGATGGATCACGACACACCACCGCACTTTCTCGTCAACCTTCTCTTCACTTTGCCCTTTCCTTTTTCCGAACTAAAACCCTCCATGTTGGAGACCAAAAGGAATAGACCGGGACCCTGTTGTATCCTCTTGTTTGGTTTAACTGACTTCAGTGTTTCTTTTTGCGTTGCGTTTTACAAACCTTTCTCATTGTGTGTGTGGGCATGCGTGCGCAGCGTCGCGCAGCTAAAACAGCTACGCCGTGTATTTCGAAAGTCACTTTGTGGCTTCCATGTCTTTCCGCGCTCGCGCAGTCAGTCGCTCGCGCGCGTCCGAAACCTTCAGCCCCCATTGCAGAGCAGCGCGTAGAAGATGGCTGCGCAGGAATGGTCGTCCCTACAAAGACAGTGCTCTTCACGTTGGTCAACACGGAATCTCAGCTTAGCAGGATTAAAAAAAGGCCTTTCTTTGCTGCGAAGGACTGTTTCTTCCACCAGACATTTTCAATCAGTTTCATATGGCGCTGCTGCTCTTGTAAGTAGCCGGAATCTGCGCATGAAAGTTTGTAGACGAACTGAGGACCCCAAATGCTTTTGGTTGACCAACTTCCTGGAGACGCTCCTGGTTCAGGCTATTTTTTTCGTGTAATTCGGCCTTGTTTGTTTGGGTTGTTGCTTCGCAGTAGGTTTGGTATCCTATGACAGTGGCGACCCAGAGCCGCTATCAGAAGTGTCTCAATAGCATTTTGTCACAAATTTCTACTTCGTATTGTTTCGCTTCAACTGCTTGCGTGAGGACGTCGATCGCCAAGTACATGGAGGCAACCAGAAACTGTAAATCAAAAGTTTGCTCGGATTCGCAGCAGTATGTCAGGCAATGCAAGGCTAGTTGTGCCGCAAACCTGACACGCATGTTCCTGACATTCTCCAGTGAGAACCCCTTGCTCTTGCAGGAGACAGGTAACGAGCAGTGGGATGTACCCAACGGCGTGAGACGCTCGCCCTGACCAAGTTTTTCTTGTTTACCTCTGGGGAAGCAACAATTTATTCTGTGCGACGTGCCAAAGAGAGAGCTTGTTGGCAACAAACTGCCGAAGCTTAGTCCAACTCCCTCGTGACTTCAACTGAGCAATCTCTCTTTCTGTCTTTACACTTTCTGTCTTGAAATATATAGCTGTTGCTGAGATAGCAACTGGCAGCAGGGGCTGAGGTTGCAGTGGAAGGTGATATGCAAACAGGTGGTGGTGTGTAGCCAGTGTACTATCTCTTGGGTCCCGGCGCGGAAAGTCCAGGTTCGACCTCCTCCTTGTTTTCCACACTCAGCGTTCAGTCGCAAGCACCCCTCCCTTGAGTTGGGCCGAAAACACAGGTTGGATACACGCTCAGGTGGCATGAAACTCATGTTTATGGAGTCAACTTCACACGGAGGGAGAGGCCTCGTGCTTGTTTGAAGCACGCGATCGTAGCGCCCAGTGCAACGGGAGCAGCCTTTGGCTTCATGAGCAGAGCGGCGCGTGGCGTTCAGCTTCCATGTGGTAGCAGGTGCCTCTTGTAGTCGCCCACAATGATTAGTCGAGCAGCATCAAGGCAGGTTCACTTGGTCTTTGTTGAATCGTGCATCATGCAGTACTCGATCTCGATACTTTGTGCTAAGGGTTTGCAAGTGTTCCCACAGCTTTATTCTTTTTTCTTTGATCTTGTTGTGCTCTTCCTGCAGGTTGTTGAAAGCCTCAATGGTCCGTTGGCGGTTTTGCGTGATAATCTCAATGATTCGCATCACTTCTTCAGGCTCTGAACGAATGATTCGATTTTGGGCTTGTAGATCACTGGCTCTCCAGGTCCATAGCCTGTTCAATTCGTTGTTCCCATTCTGCGAACTCAGACGTGATGTTTGTGTTGGTCTCGGTTGCCTCATTGTCGTCAGTCTGGGCGCCAGCCTCGGCGACATTAATTGCGAAGGGAAAATCATTTGTTTCCGTAGCCACATAGTGGCGCCCAGGAGAAGGACAAGAGGAAGATGGACAGCGTGTAGGTCCATCCATTTTCATCATCGTGGTCTGAGGTTTTGTTGATGTTGTGCGTGGGTGGCAAGTGTGGTTGTGGTTGACCCCAAAAGAAACATATATAGCTTGCGTAGCCCATCATTCCTTCTTCGCTGCAAACATCTCTGTTTTCTTCTGTTGTGTCTTGGCATCTTTCTTCTTTGCGGCCTGGTAGGTCTCATCGCTGTTGACTATAAGGCCAGATGGGTTCGAGGCCAATCTGCAAGGAGTTGTGAACCATCCACCTTGGTCATCGCATACCCGGTGGACCTGGGCGTTGCAGGCCTTGAGTTTGTTTTTGCGCGCAAGCGCTTCAGTTGCCGTTCTTTTGTCGGCCCCACATGCTGCCTGTACTTCCTTTGTGCAGGAGGTCGATCAAGGCTTTGGCGCGCAGGAGGTGTTGTCAGCAGTGGTAGTTGCTGTCGGTAGTCATAGTATAATCTCCAACAGGCGGAAATGAATAATGGCGTCGGCGCGTTCAGAAGCAGCTGACAGTTCCGCTCAGAGAAGTCGAGGTTGCTGCTGTGATCTCCAACCCATGAGATTGTACTCACGGGTGTCTCCACCCATGGTCTTCTTCTCAACCATCATCGCTCGGTGGCCATCTTCGCTCGCTAAATCTGCCCGGCTAGCGAATGAAGCATCGCCGTAGCGGCAGAAGGAGATGTCTTGCGGCTTCTTCTCAGGTGCCGTGTGTGTTGATGGCCATCAGTCCACCTAAGTCCTCTCAACGTTGCTGTCTCTCTTGTAGGCAATTTGGACTGTGGTTCCTTTTGCGGCGCTCAGGCAAAGCAATTTGCTTTATCTTGTGGAAGTAGCGCAACTGGCGCAAGAAGACATTACTTCTCTGTCTTATCTTGCGACCGCAATATTCGAGCTCTCCAGGGTCTCGCACACATCCTGAAGGTGAGCTGTTGTTGAAAATTCTTCTTTCACCTGGGGGAACTTAGTGGATTGCGTGTTGGCTCCAGCGATGGGGTCGTGAAGGCAGATTCCAAAAAGTCAAACCAAAGCACCCTGCCAGCCTGTTGTTGAGGTTCGAGCGAGAAACACCAATCATGTCCTCTTCTCGGGCTTGGAGATGAACTTCAGGGGCGGCGCGGCCATTTGGCTCCAAATAGATGGACAGATGCCCTCGTTTAGCTTAGGTGTTTGCTCAGTTGCCTCATTCGCCATCAGCTTTTATGAAGTTGTAGGTGCCAGCGTTCGTTCACCTCGTGGCCTTGTCTGAGTCTCCGCCTTCCATGGCCCATCCTTCTGCTAGCCCACCTTGATTTCAAAGTGACGTGAGTGGTCGGCCCAAGAGGAAAGCTTGAAGGCGGCCAGCTGAATGTCATTGACCATGGTGGGGAGATGGACACGAAACCGCTAGACTCTTAGAGCCATTGTCTCCGCCAAATTGGAAGATCTTGTTGGCGGATCGGAGGCGGGCGTCCTCCAGCTTGACTTTCTGTGTTAATGCCATTGCCTTCACGGGGTGCTTGTGCCAGTGTCCGGGATGCCATGGATCTCCCTTCTCGTCGACATGATGTAGTGAGGTGTTCTGCTGGCAGTCATCATTGCAGCTTCACCCTTTGAACGCTTTGTTGGCGATGAAGTTTGTGAATGATGACTTATTGGAGTTCTTGCGAAGCCCAGTGTCCTGCTTGACCACACTGCAGGCAGTCAAACTGTAGCGAGTAGACTGTGTCCGATTGGTCAGGTAATAGGAGGGTTTCAAACTTTTCCATCCTTATTTCTGTTGTTTTTGCAAATCTCCCCTTTTGTTGCTGTGGAGGTCGTATGAGAGAGCGCCGTTGTTGCGCTCGATGATCCAGCCATTGGTGCATCAGCGCGCGAAGGAAAACGCGTCTCAACTCCTGACACGGTCAACAAGTTGATCGTGGCCTCTTTGCCCTTGTGCTGGATTGCCATCTTCTTGCCACGCAAAAGGATGCGGGCTCTCCATTCCTTGTGGTGAACTCACTTGTAGTTCTTGGTAAGAGCAGCGTGAAGGTTATCTTTGGTCACTTCCAGGCCCCCCAACGAACACGCAGGGAGCCCAAAACCGCGATAGAGGACCGCCCAAGTTGAGGATGTCCTCGGGCTATGCTTTTGTATGGTGCTCGCGGCGAGTGAGATTTACGACGCTGTATCACAAAAACTCACGTCAGCTAGCTGCAGATTCACTTGCCTTGTGATCAAGATTGGGTTGGGGATGACGAAGGTAATGGGCCAGCTTGTACCCAATTGCGCTATGGCGCCTGGTCCTTGTGACGGGGTTCCTTGGCTTGGAAGACGGGCTTAGCAGCTTCTGACGCCTAAGCGTGCCTTGTTTAGCTCTTCCGTCGTGTGCTGCCAACGATGGATCAAGTCTCTGGCGAGCAAAGAGTAGAGAGGGGGTGGAAGGCTGTTAACGCGCAAAGCTTTCCTGAATTCGAATTTGAGAATGGGAACGCAGGGACATAGTAAATATAGACTTGCTAATACAAACGTCTACTCAAATATGTGGTTGTTTTCTGTAGGGCTGGCTCTGAGCTTCTTTCACCAACTCGGACAGTCTTGACGGTTTGGTGTTGAGAAGGATTAATTAGCGTGGATAGTATGGTTTAGCTGTATATCGAGTCTTTGGTTTCGCATATGTTTTGCTTTGGCCGGCTTGTGGCTTAGCCTTCAAGCTGCACGACTTCGGCTTCCGCGGCGTGTCCTCTGTGGAGTCAGCAGCCATTGGCGGCTGCGCGCATCTTGGCGCGACGCGACTTGTGATTTGCGCGGCGTGGTGTCGAATGCGTAGCGAAGGGTTCTCGTTTTACTTTCTTACCTTGAGTCTAGAGCGTTGTTCGCGCGCCGTTGCTTTCACGTCCGCGACTGTTCGCAAGTTCTTGAATGTGATCGATAAGGCCCTGCGGTTGACATCGGGAAAAGGTTTTGGATGGAAGGCTGAAGGGTCAGATTCGTGTGAAATACCGTAGAAACGCAACTATGTTGAAGTGTGGAGGATGATTTTGCTGCGCAGGTGCAGCGCTTCGTGAGATCCTCCGTTGCCTTTGCGCAGTTGGGATTGGAGTTCGCAGGGCGGTCTGAGTCTGTCGGAATGACGTTTGGATTTTGCGTTTCGAGCCGCAGCGTCGAAGCCGTGTTTTCACGTGACAAGTCCCATGTTAAAGCAGCGATTTTGGTGGATGCGAGTCGTGAGTGTGCTCATGTGTCGAAATCATTCCAAACGTGTGGTGTGGCGCTGAAGACGTGAAGATGTCATGTAACGTGGCAGGGGCAGTGCTTTGTGCGTGTTGGAGGTGTCGAAGTTGAATTTTCGGGGCAGGCGCAGGGAATTGTGAGGTCCGAAGCTGCTTGGCAGGGCTGCTTGATCACTTCCCGCTTCACTTCGGAGGACGTCTCGTACCAAACGCTTGTTTTGGAGAGTTGAAGTGAGTTGGCGCTTGACTTGTGGAGGAAGTCTTGCGCGAAACGCTTGAATTCGAGACTTGTTTGCAAGAGTGTCCTGCAAGAGTTTTCCACAAGAGTGGTTGCTACAAGAGAGTGTGCTACAAGAGATTTACAAGAGTGTCCCGCAAGAATGCCCACAAGAGTGTCCCACAAGATTGTCTCCTACAAGAGTGTCCTACAAGAGTGTCTCGCAAGAGTTTCCACAAAACTGTTTGCTACGTGTGTGTGTGTGTGTGCTACAAGGGTGTCCTGCGAAGGTTTCCCACGAGAGCGTTTGTTACAAGAGTGTCCTACAAGAGTGTCCCGCACGAATTTTCCACACGAACGTTTTCTACAAGAGTGTGTGTTACAAGAGTGTCCCACACGAGCGTCTCTTACAAAAGTGTCCCACAAGAGTGTCAAACAATGTTTGGCCGTTTGTTTTGGAGTGCGTGTGTGCATTCGAGATCGTCAGTTCCATACTGTTTTATTTGTCCTAGTCGGTTGGTGGATAAAGATAACAACAGACTACTGTGCACAGAAGTTGGCGGAGCGAACAAGACGATACCAAACCGAAACTCTGGGCCTCAAGGCTTTGGTTCGTCTTGGGTTCTTTGTGAAACATATCTTCCGCGCTTCGCTTCGACCGTCTTCACGACGCTTAGGCACTTGGTGAACTTTCTTGGCACTGATACTGTAGCCTCCATGATTTGTGCCCGTGACTACTACGGCTCCAAGAAGGCCGACACGGACCACACCGGCTGGGTGTGGTTTACAAAGTGTTTGTAACAGTTTGATTCTTCAATATTGTTCACAATTCGCCGAGATACGCCAAATTCAAGATGTTCCAAAGTCTTTGCTGCGCCACCTTTTGGTCGCTTCTGCACTGCAAGCAACACGTTGCGAGTTGCATAAAACACACAGGGTTACTGGCGACATTCCCCTCATCCTTTCCATTCGCTAGCAAAGCGGTATGTTTTCGTTGCAAGTGGAGCTGCAACCGTGGAGTTTGCTTGCACATACGACTTATATAGTACTGAGATTCGCACTTTGTCACACCGCGTGTGCGCTGCGTGTGAGAGGCTGCGGGTGGTTCCATTCCAGCTTCAGAGCACTCGACAATCACATCTTGGGGTGTTGATGGCGAGTGTGATGCGATGAGGCACAGTGGTTTTGGTTTTTGTTGCACACCTTTGCAGATAAAGGTACACACCTTTGATTCGGGTGTGTTCGGCCTTTCCTTTCGGAGCAACATGCTTGCATATGCTTGCCATTGCAGATCAAGTTGCAGGAACATGTTGGAATCCTATCCCGAGGGCTTGGTTGCATGCGCTACTTGGCTGGTGCAATTGGTGCTCTTGTAGTGTTCTGGCCTAGAGCCCAAACTCGTTTGCACAATTTACGGTAGGTATCGCAAGATTCAGGCTTAGAGGAGTTTCGGTGAAGATCAATTGGAGGATCGAGCTCCCCAGGTATCTGATTCATTTGACATTTGGCGCGCTTGCAAAGACTACTGGGGCGACAAACTGAAGGATTTGATCAAAGGGCGCACCTTGACAGCCTTTGGTGGTGCCGTGGTACCATGAGCAACGGTTGGGCACGCACAGTTGTTTGTTTCATTTTGTTTTCTTCCCATACCGTGGGCCTGGTGGGTTCCTTCTTCTCGATTTATATATAATTGCACCTTTGCTGCTCTTGTGATGTCAGTTTAAAATATTTCATATGATTTTATAGTGCTGATCGCTGCTGATCCCACTCTCCTACAGCCTCTCCGGCTCATACCCGTTTCCTGCGCTGATAGCTGGTCTTTCCGACCCCTGCTTTGCCGGGCTCATTACTGCCCATGGTTGCCAATGTATCCTGGCACTGCTTGGCGCAACCGCGTGCAGCGTAACCTTGGGAAATACATGTCACCTTTATCGATGCTGTTTGCCGATGCCAAAGTGCACGGCTACCTGCCTTGCTATGAATCAAATGCAATCAATGTTCACCATGTCATCTCGAGTTAGAGTCATGATCAACTGGACTTGCTTTGGAACAATTTATCAATCCTCGTCAAATGTTTAGAGCCGTGGTGAGCCGCGTCTCCATTTGTCTATTTGGGGTTTGTCAATCCCAAGAATTACTGCCCTCAAGTAGTTGAAGACAGACACTCGAGAAGGCATAGAGTGGTCTATCATGAGTCTATTTATTTAATTACTGTATCTAAGAATATCTAATACGGATTTTACGAAAGACTGACGGATGTCGTTATGGTCGTTGGAAGTTTCAATCAATAGATTTCCCCGTTCCGCAGAGGTGACTGGGAAAGAGGGGTTTGAATGCTGTGCTGTATCATACTGAATCTATTCATTCGATTAATTCTAATTTGGACGGCTGTTTGGTGGGGGCAGCTGCAAATGCTAAGAACGAAACTGTTTCAGAGAGCAAGGGTTTCTCACACTTTCATCGTGGGCCAAGGGGCCTTTCCCGTTGACTTGTTGAGCAATTTTTTCCCCAAGGCATCACCGACACGAAGTTCGGTCGATTGGTGGTCCGCCCGGACAGTGGTGACCCTGCTGAGACATGCTGCTCAATCTTGAAGCATCTCGACTAAAGACAGATCGAAAGCAATCTGCAAGTTGTAAACCTTTCTATGCGCATTGAGAACATGGGTGCACTGCACAACCCCTTCGAAATCATACTTATTGATCTTATTGCCAATTATTACCTGCTCCAGTTCTCCTAAGCCGGTTCGCGTGCATTGTTTTGCTAAGGGGTACCCTTTCGCGCCTGCGCGGTAAACGCGGTAAACACATGTCTATTTAAAAAAGAAGTTGTTTAACGTTTGTACCGCGCGGGTGGTAAAGACAAAATTGGCGACCCCCCCGGTAAAAAGCGGTCACAACAAGAAACATTTCGACTTTTACCGTTTTTTACCACGCAGGTGGCAGAAAAGAAAAAGGGGGCGACCCTCCGCGAAAAACGGTTAAAACAAGAAACACATCGATCTTTACCATTTTTACCGCCGGGGTGGTAAAAACAACATGAATAAAAAAGGGTTTCCCAACAGGAAACCTTATCATAGTCGTTTTAGCGCAACAAACACGGCCGCACCGGCCGCATCTTTACTTTCGCAGTAACAATAAACATTTCCAGGACTAAGCCGAGGTACCCCGTGGTTTAAAAAAGCACACAACAAAACAATTATGTACTCCCTCAAAAAACACACCCGAGTAAGAACGTCAAATAAAACACATGCTTTGCAAAAACAGGCAAACCACGCGGAAACAATAACAGAAAAGATATTTGATCGCGCTAATCCTTTAAACAAACATGGGAAAACAACGAATACAACAGGTAGAAATGGCACCACGCATATGGTATGAAATATAAACTACCCGCTCGCTCGGGTGGTCCAGAAAAGACGGTAAAACGTTTCGTTCTTTACCGTTCTTACCGCGCGGGTGGTAAAAAAACATTGGCGACCCTCCGCTAAAAACGGCAAAAACAGAAACAGACACATTTCGATTTTCACAATTTTTTACAACGCCACGCACATGGTAAAAAAATAGCGAACCCCCCGTACAAACAGTAAACACATAATATATCGTTTTTTACCGTTTTTACCCCGCGGGTTGCAAAAAAATATGGCGACCCCCCCGGTAAAAATGGTCAACACATAAGACATTTGATTTCTACCGTTTTTACCGCGCGGGGGGCTACGGGTGAACCCCGTAGCCCGAGCAACACCGCTTAACCAGCACAGTTTCTCCTGTTGAGATGTTCTTGTGTCAGAAGAAGCAATTGTATGCAATTGTTAGATCATGTTAAGATGCTAAGTCTGTTAACTGGTTGATCACAATCATACACATGTTGAACACGTTTGAACCGCAAGCAAGTGCTGGACGGTGCTTCGATCATGTTAAAAAGCGGAATCAATTCTGGACTCAGGATTTTGCTGGAGCAGTTCAAGGCTTCAGTCTTCAGTGTGCATTGTCATCACCAATGTTTTTCTTCAATCTGTTTGAAACAGGTCATTCCTTCTTTATTTCACCGAAAGACTGGACCTAGGGACCTAGTGACCGTGTTGCACATGCCAGGAGGACGTCACAGAAACCAAAACAGGACTGGAATCTTTGAGAACTCTAAGTTTTGCTACCAGGCTGCTACCATCAGCTATGCTATTTGTATCCATGCGACGACCGACTTACCTTGGCCTGAAGGACACAAGCTTCTTCCGCCTTACATTCGTGTCATCCAGGACTGGCTACAGAGCGGTCTGAAAGTTGAGCTGCTGTACAAGTTTTCATTGTTTAACCACGCCCTGAAAACCAAGGAAATTATATGATGTTTGTCAGTGGTCCGTTAAAGCAAAGGCAAACCCAGATACTATTCAGCAGTTTTGGAAGAGTTATCAGGGCGATGGAGTGGACTGGGAATCCATCCCCAAGATCCTTGAGAAGCTGAAGAAGGAGAAGATTGCCGCAGATGCTTGGCCAGGTCCTGCGGCATTGCAGGGCAATGTCAAAGACAACTTGAATGGGGCACCTAATTATCTGTATATTGGATATATATATATATATTAATTCTTTTCAAGAGGGGGTAGGCCGTTAGTAGCTAGAGGTAGCTAGTAGCCTACTTGAGCTACTAGTATGCACGCAGGATTAGCTCACGCTTCTTTGAAGAAGCGCCCGCACTAATGATTTGGTTCCTAGATTTTTAGGGAAACTTAGCTAATGTGACACCAAAGACCAGTCTGTATATTCTTTGCACCGTCTGCTGGCACCTGCGTTTGGATTCATGGACTACTGCAGACTGGCCCCTTTTTTACTTGAGTTTCGCCTCCCACCGCTTCGGGTTCGAAGGACTCACCAAGAACTGCAGTTGAATGTGACACAACCCAGGAATACGCAGGACACATTTTTGGGACTCCCAGGGCCTAGAGAGCCAGGCTTCACCACGTCCCTTCATATCACTGCACGTGGTCTCAACTCAGCTAATCTCGCTTTCTCTCAGCCCAATCTTCTGTTGCTTCGCCTCATTTGATCTCACAGAGCAACCCATGAAACTTGAAAGTTCTGCTGTGTATAGCACCCCTACCATTATGGTGAACATGATTCATTTGCTACTGTACTTGCTCAAGATGGAAAAAGGCCGCACGATCTTGAGGGTCTTGCGTCTTGTTGTGTTGCCTTTTGGGGTTGGTTGTTGCCACTTCAAGTGCTTACCAGCCGTACTGGTAGGGCTTTGATTGTTGGTGGTTCCCCCTTTTGCAACTAATTACATTTCATCACCGTAGCTCGAGCCTTGATGGACGACCGCGATCCCCCTCAAGAACCGGAGGAGCAGTTCGAGCGGCATCGTGGGATCCGCGGCGGTCAGGCCACAAAGCTTAGACGTGATGCCCATATACATCCGGAACGCGGCTGCAGTTTGGGGCGTTCCGGAGGAGCCTGTGCCTGTGTACCACACTGATGGTCATTCTCGTCCTTTGAACACCTCTAGATTTTGGGAAGCTGAGCATTCTGAATCGGAGAGTGACGAGGGAGAAGACTGCTATGGTGTTGCCAAAAGCCAGGCCGCTTAGTCGAGTGAAGACTGAACTTGTTCGTTTGGTTCCTTGGAGTGCCCTTTACAATGAGAGTTGGAATTCCCCGGGTTCGAGTCACGCAGTTCGGAGTCCGTATTCTCACCCTCCAGAGCCAGATCACCCGCCACCCGTCTTGCATCCGTGGAGGAATCAGGGTAGATCGTTGAGGAGTTGAAGAAGAAGAGATTGGTGTGTCTGCTGAAAGTTCAGCCAACTTGGTTGAGTCTGCTGAGGGATCAGCCTTTGTTGAGTCTGTTGAGGAGTCAGCCCCGCACCGATTTTCAGTACACCTCGACAGGATACTTCAGAGCAAGTTGAGATTGGGGATTCAGAGACCATTGATTCTGCTGAGGGCTCAGCCACAGGTGTTTCTGCAGAGAGTTGTGTGTCAAGGCCAGTTGATCCAATTGCGCAAGCAAGGCTTGCGTCGGCGCTCAGAACATTTCCGTCCAAGCCATCATCGCTTGCAGTTGTTGGTGAGTATCGATCCATTCATCCAGACAGGCCAGCAGTTGTTCTCAAGCCAGCTTTTTGAGTGGTGATCCGACCTGCCACAGTGGCCATTTGTCCAGCAGTTGGAGTTTGGCCGCCTTCCAAAGCCGCCAGTCATCAGTGCCAGGAGAGGGATTTTCGCATCTCCCAAAGCCACTTCGTCTGTGAGGCACTTGCCATCGCCCAAATCTGGAAGTGATTGTTGTGGAGGACGAGCCAGTTGAGGAGCACGAAGTTGAGATTTTGACAGAGACCCGTCTTGCATTGTTCCATCCATCAGTTCAAGCTTACAAGTTTGTTGGAAACAGATTGCGGAGGGTCCCGTTGACCAATGTTCCACAGCTTGGTCAGCGCATTGTCGCCTATTTCCATCAGGTGACTCCGACAGAGAGTCAAGGTACAAGAAGACCTATCAGGCCGAGACTGGATTGCCGCCTCGACGCATTGAGACCAGTCGTGTGTTGCACGAGCTCTTGCAGAGCCTTGGTGGCATCGTTGACCTCGCGGTCTGCTCGTTACCTCGTTAACCTCAGGTCGCGCAGGTTGAGCAGAGGCTGAAGGTCAAGTATGTATGTCTTTGTGACTGACCGTCGCTGTGGTGAGGGAGGGAAGCATCATTCATTGCGAGCATTGACCAATGGCGTGTTGCTCATTTGTGATGACGACGTGGAGATCGTCAGAGAGTTTTGGGCAAGTGGGTCTGTTGGATTCAAAAACCGAAACCTGGATCCTACGTCGCTGCTCAACGTTACTGCAGGGAGCGTTTGAGCGCTTTGTTCGCCAGCTCCGTTGCCTCCTCCATCCGGCGCAGCGCCAGCTCCGTTGCCTCCTCCCAGTGTGGTGCCAGCTCCGTTGCCGCCGCCGCCAAGCGAGTGATTGGTCGCAAAAGGCACCAATCTTCGATCGTTCCAGCTTCGTTCCAGCCATCCAGCCTGCCTTGCGCCTGTCCGGCTGCGACAGCGCCTCAGGAAAAGAGCCGTTCTTTCGAGGGGAAGGGGAAAGGGTATCAGAATAGTCAAAGAAGTGGTTCAATTCTCCCAATCATGTCAGAAGAGCAATCGTCATCGCTGAATTATGTTGCTGCTGTATGCGTGTTCGAAGTAGATCTCAATCGTCGGGAGGTTCTGCAACACCTTGAAAGAGGCAGCAAAGTGCACCTCGTCGTTCGGTGTCCAAGGCTCCGGTGAACCGCAGGCTTCCCCATCCAGTTCACCCTCAATGCCTGCTTTGACAGATTTCCGTGAACCGTCGTCCAGCGGACTTCAAGCTGGTTCTTGAACTTGACTTAGAATCGGTTCGGCCGCTTAGCGGTTCAACAGATTTTTCCTTTGCGCGATGAAAGGGTTTTGAATTCAGTTCAGGTAGCAGTCTTGGCTGTTGATCCGCAAGAGTATGGAAGATTGGTTTCCAAGTCTCAAAGATTGTTGAGTGAGCCTGAATCAAGGGCTCAGCGTCTTGAGGGTATGTGAAAGGAGATTTACCAACAGGCTTGTGAGCGCATCAACCACCTCACCATGGTGGTTGAAGAGTTGAGGGGAAATTTGGATACCCTTCAGTTGGGACGCCATGACAAGGACACCATTCTCGCCAGCTTGAATGAATCAGTTCGGCAAACCAAGGCAAAGCCTGGAAGACCAGATCCGGTTCGCCAAAGATGAGGTAACCAAGGTGACAGAAACCAATGCATACACCACGAGCCTGTTGGGCCACAAGGATTCAGAGATCCGAAAGTTGCGCAGTGAGCTGGATCGTTTGAAAGATCGTGTGACGGAACTGGAGGCTAGATTGGCTGCGTCAAGCTATAGCGCCCGTCCTGTTGTCAGAGCTGTTGAAGAGTGTGAGGGCAATCCCTGAGCTTCAGTTCAAAGTTCAGGGTCGGGGAATCTTGCGCATGATTGCCAGGCACTTTGATCTTGATCGCTCTCGTGGTTCCATCTCACTTCGCGCAGGCTCGCGAAATCTGTTTGGCTGGAGCGGGTGCTTGTCGCGACTGCGCTCTCGTTGTGGCGCCACGCGCGTTTTCGGACATGTTGGTCACTTTTCGTGGCAGGCGTACGGGGAACCTCGTGTTTTGGCAACGCAAAGCCGACTTGTCCAAGGGATCGGAGCGGCTTTATTTAGTTCGGATTGCAGACCCCGTGGCAGGCGCAGCACTTTGGGCATTGTGTGGTGACCTTCGACGCGCTCTAATTTCTTGACAGGGGCAGTGAATCGTGACTTCACGCATGTGGTTCCTTTTCAGAACTCGTGGCAAGCGCAGTACTTTGCGGCAAATTTCGCGGCGCGCGCAGCGCTTTGTGAACCTGGAAGTGCAGATTTCGTGGCATGCAGGCGCAGCGCCTCGAAGTGCAGATTTCGTGGCAGGGGCAGCGCTTTGTGAACCTCGAAGTGCAGATTTTGTGGCAGGCGCAGCTCTCGCATCCTCACTCTCACTCTCGCACTCTGTCACTCCCACACGCTTAGGATAGGGTGTACTGAACTGAAAGCGGTGCCACACGCCAACCTATCGCTCTTAGGTTAGAGGCCATCGAAGGCAGGTTGAGAGGCCATTGCTAGGAGGTTGGTGACAAGAAACTACAAGACAGCAAAGCAGTCAAAGTTGGAGGTCTTCGCTCTTAGGTTGGAGGCCGTCGAAGGCAGGTTGAGGGGCCATCGCTATAGTAGGTTGGAGACAAGAAACAACAAGACTGTCAAAGTTGGAGGTCTTCGCTCTTAGGTTGGAGGCCGTCGAAGGCAGGTTGGGGGCCATCGCTAGTAGGTGACAAGAAGCGCAAGACAAACAAGACAGCAAAAGTTGGGGGTCCATTCTAGTGGGTGGAGGCCAAAGTTCAGGTTAAAGAACCCCTTACAAAGTTTGGAGGCCTACCTGCAACCTATAGGGTCGCGGAGTTGCTCTTGAGTGCACTTGCTTGTTTGGAGAAGACGGACAATCTCCTTGGCTGACTCCTGAATGGCCTCGTCGAAAGTGGAGAGCCACGTGTTGATGGCGGGGATGGACCATCCCTCCGGGACCTGATCCTTGAGTGAGGGGTGGTGGCTGAATTCTCGTCGTCGGCCAGTACTGGAGGTTTTTTGTGGTTCGGGGAGCGTGGATGGAGTTGATGGGGCTGCGCCGCGGTTCTTGGTGTCCTTGCGGGCTGTGAGTTGCAGCCCATTGGCCATGAGTTTAATAGCGTGTGCTCGAGCCAGGTCCTCTGTTTTTGCCTTCAGCTCACGACTAGCAGAGCCCTCGGCGGCAGCGGGAGCATCGGCTGCGAGGTGATTGGTGACCAATTCAGCCTGAGTGGTTTTGTTTGGGATCTCATTGCCCTTGGCTCGATGAAGCGCTTCAGTGGTGGCATCGAGGTCGGGCCGCTTGTCTTGCAGGTCTTGAAGAAGGTGCGTGCGCACGATAAAGACCGATTCAGCAATGCTGCGAGTCGGAATGAGGCCGCAGTACTTGCCGTGGCTCAGGGTGCGAGCCGTGAAGTCGGCTGCGCCGTGCGTGATATAGGCAAGGAGCCAGGGGTGGGGCGCGAAGAGTCGTGAATTTGGCGGCTCGAGGAAAGGAACGGTTGCTAGAGGTGTAGGTGCTGTGGTGGGATGCGTTGGGCTGTGGGTGAAAGAAGTATTGGTGGGCGTCACTGGTCCTGGTGCAGAAGGTACAGTGGTGGGTGCCGGAAGTCACGGGCCCGTGGGTGTGGGTGGGTGTGTAGTGATTGATAGGGGGCCGTACTGAGTGGGTAAAATTGGAGGGGTCAGTGCTTGGACTCTATCTGTGTGCCAGCCTACCAGCAACCTATCCAGGGGGTCTGTCCTCCAAAAAATCAACCCAAGTAAGGAGTGGATAATTTTTTTGGGGGTGGATAAAATGGTGTCAGTGCATCAAAAATATCCAGAATAAACGCTCCAATTTTATCCACTCGGTAGTGGGAGTAGAAAAGGAAAGAAAAGATAGAACATCGCTCGTTGGACGTTCGTTAGATTTCCGCTCGTTAGATTTTCCGAGCTCCATGGACGTCGTGATCACAGAGAACCAAAAAATTGTCAGCGAAACTTGCCAACGGAACGTCAAAGCATCAGTCACCGCGGGCTTTCAACTGCTCCAGCAGCTGGAAGCACTCTTGGTCAGCGCCTTTCAGCTCTGGATCATTCTCAGTGGGACCCTGTGTTTCGACATGAGGAGTCTGAAAAATAGTGGTGGGGCCTCACGGGATCCTGCACCAGGTCTTCCATGAGATTCGCAGCCTGTGAAAAGGACACGTGTGAAACATGTGCGTCCTAAAAACAACCTGGATATTTTCCTTGGTACTGAGGTTGGGGAGATATACAAATGACAAGTTGTGGGACACGCTGAAATTAATCTTCTTCTGCTGCTTCTGCTAGGTCTGGAAAGCTTTCAAAAAAAATTGCTCAACGGCAGCGAATTAAAAAAAAAGGTGCGCTGACATCTGGACAAAACAATTTCAATGCAGAAGTTCCGCTCAACAAAGAAGCTGCTTCCCGGTCGCTCTGGGCATCGTAACCCTGATAAACTCCCGCTGGCACTCCAAAGTCCAGAGCGGCTGTCAAGTCCACAAAATACCGGCCAAAATGTACAGTTTGACCAGCGCTGCGGAAAGCCCCCCTACAAACCCTTGTCAGTGTCGGGGCAGCCCTTGCCTGTTGACTGAACCACACCGCTCAGCAGTCTCCACATCCCCCCAGCATGCAACGTTTGTTTCAACTGCGCTGAGCCCTTTGTGCAACTCGTGCAACCTACATCGAACGCGCCGAGGCCATCTTTGCTACCCGTCCAACACCCAACGATCTCAACAATGGCGAAAGCGCTTTCGCCAACTGCATCTGCTGCCGCACGCTTACCACTACCACCATTTCCTCTCCCCCAACTCAGTCTATGTGAAACTCTTCTTCAATATGCACCACATCGATGTTATCACCAACGTGGCCATTTCTATATTGGCTCCACCGCCATTGGTATCCCTCACAGGGAACACAATCGACGTGCAAAACTCAAGCAACATTCCCATCTCAGCCGAACTCTCTCTTCGCTACTGGCATACCCACAACACCATCGACAAGTACACCACTATCCAACTCCCTTGACATGACACTTACGACCAAGCCTGGATCCACGAACACGACCATATTTACCAACTGGATGCCACCTCTCAACTGGCCTTTCATTTCCCATGACCTCAAACTCAAAGCCCAAGGCTGGCAATTCGCCAAACACAGAGCACACTTTTTCTCCCGCCTCAGTGAACCACACTAAACACGCAGCCGACTCCTTCGGAGCTGCCAAACAATTGCGCAGCGGCCGCCACACTGATCTCAAGATGCCATTCGCCGCGTGGCCGCCAACTTGGAAGAACCAGGGCGCACCAAAGCCCTGCAGATAATTATTATTCACAAAGCCATGCGCTATCGCAATCTTACGCCACCTTGCGCCAACATGCCCCTCACCATTCCCTTCCTGGCTCTCGACAGCTTTACCAAAGACATACGTACTCTCATCCAACACCGCAAAGACCTTCATCTCCCCCACACACCGACTCCACGAAGCTGCTCACAAGACACTACGCGCCCGGCTCCACAATCACCGACAATGGGAGGACAGCTTACTCACACCAGCCGACCCATCTGACCTCCCCTGCGCCTGCGCGCATCTGAAGACACTTCTTCCTGATCCCGACAGCCCCGCCACCAACGACCACTACATCCTCACTCTTGACCAACGAAGCTGTGGATAAGAGTGGGAAGGGATTCTTGGCCAGTTTCCTGTACCTGCACCATGACACTACTCCAGTTTTCCCTGCTGTGTTTTGATGCCATGGTTCTTGCGTGATGGACCCCAAAACCGTGTCCTCCACCGTCGCGCAGCTGCGCCACCGCCGCTTTCCGCGATTTCTGAGCACTTGAAAACCCTTTGTTAAAACACCTTCTTTTTTTCGGACTCACTCGCCTTGTCGTTCCATCGTTCCTTTCTGCGTGGAATTGAGGTTAGAGGCCATCGAAGGCAGGTTGAGAGGCCATCGCTAGAAGGTTGGTGACAAGAAACTACAAGACAGCAAAGCAGTCAAAGTTGGAGGTCTTCGCTCTTAGGTTGGAGGCCGTCGAAGGCAGGTTGAGGGGCCATCGCTAGTAGGTTGGTCAAAGTTGGAGGTCTTCGCTCTTAGGTTGGAGGCCGTCGAAGGCAGGTTGGGGGCCATCGCTATAGTAGGTGACAAGAAGCGCAAGACAAACAGACAGCAAAAGTTGGGGGTCCATTCTAGTGGGTGGAGGCCAAAGTTCAGGTTAAAGAACCCCTTACAAAGTTTGGAGGCCTACCTGCAACCTATAGGGTGGTCTAGAGGAGAACAGAAGGAAAGGCAGTGTGTCGAGTATCTCCTAAGTAGTGGAACAGGTACAGGTGGATGATCAGTCCACCCATCCCTCGTCATACCGTAGCTTCATTGCGTACGGTGGGTATGACGAGCCGTACGCCCCTGTTCCAAAGCTTAAAGGTTCCCTTTGATTCCAAGGGGTACACACACACACACTCACTCACTCTCTCCCCCGCTCTCTCACTCTCACTCTCTCACTCTCACTCTCCACTCACACACGCTCACACTCACACTCAGCCACTCACTCACTCTCACTCTCACTCTCACTCTCACTCTCACTCTCACTCTCACTCTCACTCTCACGCTCTCGCTATCGCTCTCGCTCTCGCTCTCGCTCTCTCGCTCTCTCGCTCTCGCTCTCGCTCTCTCGCTCTCGCTCTCGCTCTCTCGCTCGCTCTCGCTCTCTCGCTCTCTCGCTCTCTCGCTCTCTCGCTCTCGCTCTCTCGCTCTCTCGCTCTCTCGCTCTCTCGCTCTCTCGC